ATAAATGTACATAAAATTATAGTATTTTATGTATAATTTGATAAAAATTTCATAAGAAAGGACTATAAATTAATTAGATACCTTTCTTAAGAAATATGAAATTTAATGTCACTCTTAACAGTTTTATTTTAATTTCTTTACAATATATTTCCCATAAAGCATCATAAACGTAAAGGAAAAGCTAAGTACAAAAAAAAAAAAAAAAAAAATTAGACCAAAGCATAAAATAAATGGGTAAATAATTTGTTCACGCTGAATGTAAATTATTTCACTTTTCTCCTTCCTCAGAACAAATTAGCCTCATGGAATCCAAATATATCATTCATCACATGTCAAGAGACGCGAAAGTTTATGACCTGTTTGTTTTATTTTTGAAAGTCCTTTTTGGCACAAAAGCTAAGTTAAGTTTATTCAAAATATTTTAAATAAACATTATAATTTCTGATTTTCTTAAAATAAGTTTTGAAAAATGATAATTGATATTTAAAAAAGTTCAAAGTCAGATTTCCATTTTTTTTTTTTTGGAAAAAATGGTCAATTTTGCTTACTCAAAAAAATAGATTTTAACAAAAATTTAGGACGTGTAGGAACGATTAAAAAATGGAAAAAAAAATACCCCAAAAAATAAAAATACCTGTCCTCTTAATAAAAAAGACGATAAAATTTTGTTTTCAGAGTTTGGCGCCTTTTTCATCAAAGCGATCTCATGGAGGTAATGCTAAATGTACCACCTCATTAATTCAATAAGCTTATTAGATAAGTAACTCGCTGCCTTCTATCTCTCTTGCTCTCAATATGCCCTTTGAGCGTTAAGTTTTCCAAGCCCTCTTTCCTCATCATGTATCCAAGGAATCATCCATTGAATTCTCAGTATCCTTCTGTAGAACCACATTTCTGCTGCCTCTAATTTTTTCCTCATCCTTAGAGAAATTATGCAACATTCACTGCCATATAAGACAAGGCACAAAGTTTTTCCATTTTTCAGCACCTTGTTTAACTTTTGGAATGCTTCTTTTGATAGTCCACTGCATGTTTTGGATCTCAGTGCCACATTTTCCATCCTCTGTTAAAATGCTTCCTAAATATTCAAACTTCTGCACCCGCTTGAGATTTTCTCCCTGCAGTAGGTTACCATTTCTCTCTGTGGTAGACTGGTTGGCATCCAAGACTATAGAACCCAGTCTGTCTTGCTATTTACCCATAGCTGGTGGAGGAGAAGAAGAGGATTCATATCTTTCCCAAGGGTATTAGAATATAAGGGAATGTAATGGATTCGACTGGAATTCAAACTCACCTCTCTAATTCCTCAATCCAAGCTTTTGACTTTTGCTAAAAGATAAATTCCCAAAAACATTTTAGGTTAAAAACAATTGTTTTGATTAATATTGGGGTGAATTGGTACTGTCATTTATTTTTATACTTTTTTTTATTTTATTTCCCAAATGGTGTTTTTTGATGACTCACCTCAGTCAATTATGTGCCATGCATGATACATGCTTAGTCGATCATGTATCTTCCAATACATGACTGACGAGGTAGATTTTTTCCAGCAGTAGGTTGCCATTTAGTTGGGGTGGGGGTAGAAAAAGAAGATTCATACCTTTCCCAAGGCATAAGTGAATGTAATAGATTCAGCTGGAATTCAAACTTGGCTCTCTGATTCCTCAATCTGAGCAGCTATCCATTACTCCACCGTATGATACTGTATTTTTGCAGTTGATAGTCCTTTTTTCTTGCTTTCTTCTATCATCCTGACTAGGAGGTCCTCTAGTTTCCTTACTGAGTTGGCTATCAACAAAGTATCATCTGTATATCTGTTAAAATTATACCCACCATAATAAATCCTGATAGGGCCCCCAGTTTCCTTAGGATTGTGTCATTGTAGAGGTTAAATAAATACTTGAAACATACAAAATTACAGAGAAATAAAAATAGAAATAAAAAAAAACAGAGAAATAAAATCTTGACATACTTACCTCTGTTATGTCTCCAGTTTTCCCAGATTTTAAGAGATTCTTAAAAAGCATGTAAATAGCAATGATAGGAATCCATACTGCAGACAACATAGCCATTGCCCAGCCAATGCCAACGGCCCAATCAGGATAGACATAAATTCCAGATGGACGTTCATAGGTCAGTTCAGAATAGTTGATGATACTCATCACAAATATCGACTAGTGAGAAAATAAAATGTCAAAGTAAAAGTCAGAATTATGTTAACACTAAAAATGATTGCTATTGCTCATTAAAGACTTCCTTCCTAATTTAAGAAGATGCTGCTTCTACTATCATTGTTATTATTATTACTGTTATTTTTTATTATAATAGTAATTATATATATATATATATATGTATGTAGTAATTTTATCATATATATATATATATATATATATATATGTATTTTATATATATATATATAATTTTATCTTTATATATATATATATATATAAAATTATACATATATATATATATATAAAATTACTACATATATATATATATATATATAATAAAATTATACATATATATATATATATATAAAATTACTACATATATATATATATATATAAATAAAATATATATATATATATATATATATATAAAATTATACATATATATATATATATATAATAAATATATATATATATATATATATATAAAATATAAAATATATATATATATATATATAAAAATTAATACATATATATATATATAATAAAAAATTACTATATATATATATATATATATAATAAAATTACTACATATATATATATATATATATATATAAAAAATTACTACACATATATATATATATATATAAAAAAATTCACACATATATATATATATATATATAAAAAAAATTATATATATATATATATATATAAAAAAAATCACACACATATATATATATATACATATATATATATATATAATAAAATTACTACACATATATATATATATATATAAATAAAAATACACATATATATATATATATATATAATAAAATACACACATACATATATATATATATAACATAAAATACCACATATATATATACATAAAAAAAATTACATATATATATATAATAAAAAATTACTACATATATATATATATAATAAAATAATACATATATATATATATATATATATATATATATATATATATATATATATATATATATATATATATATATATATATATATATATATATATATATATATATATATATATATATATAAAATATATAATATATATATATATATATATATATATATATATATATATATATATATATATATATATATATATATATATATATATATATATATATAAAATTACTACATATATGTATATGTATACATATATATATATCTATATATAATAAAATTATATATATATGTTTATGTATTAATTTTATTATTATATATATATATATATATATATATATATATATATATATAATCTGTGGAGTTAAGTTTCAATATAGGACATCTAATGTAGACCTGTTTAACAGGTGTAATATTGGAGGAATCGAGACTTTTATCATCCAGTCTCAGTTATGGTAGACTGGTCATATCTTGAGATTGTCTGATGAGAGGATACCCAAGATTCTAATGTACAGCCAATTAGATCAGGGCTACAAAAATGTAGGATGCCGATGGCTAAGATACAAAGACAAGCTGAAAAGCAACTTGTCAGCTGTCAATATACCACATAACACGTTTGAGCACTTAGCCTTGGAGTGGGTAGAATGGAGATGAACATGTTTTAGTGGAATCAGCAATTTTCAATCTGCTTGTCTGAAGCATCTTCAAGAAGTGGGAGCAAGATCTAAAAGGTCAGCCAATCTAACAGTGATCTCATCTCACAATCCTCAGACTTGCTCCATATGTGGCCTCCTTTGTAAATCACTAGCGGGTCTTAAATTTCACTTAAGATTATCGCACAAAATTTCATAACTGAATCAATAAGTTTTCAGATTCTCATACATCGAAACTGACAGAAGAGTCCATTATATATATATATATATAATATAGCAATTTTATCATTATATATATATATATATATATATATATATATTGACCCCAAGCAAGGTGATACTGCCACAGGAAATTTTTTTATTAGAAAATGAACATGGGGATTACATTACAAATTACCCTTTTTTTGTTCTTAAGAATTGACAACAAATATATTAAAAGCCTCTTTATTTATTAGATTTTGTTCATTTACAAGAAACATTTAATATTTATGACATTCTAAAGACTAATACAATTGTATTAAAACTTGAAATGCAATATTTATCATTTGCCAGTTTATAAAGAAATAAATATGAAAATTTTTTATTCAAAAATTTATAAACATTTACTAAATTAATTAACTATGTGCACCAACTGTAAGGAAAACTTTATTATTTACCATTTTATGAAATTTGAATCAACTGGTAATGAACCAATATTTTGCCAACCATTCCAAGTTCTAGCACTAAATCTAACTGCCCAGATGTTAATTGCTACCATCAGGTTCCGAGAGTGGAGTTTTGATTTGAGTACTAGTTTGTGATTAATAGTGTAAATTAAAATCTAATAAATAAATAGTGTTTATTATTTTTGTCATAAATTCTGAAGGACAAAGAAAATGTATAAATTCACTTTCATATGTTTAGGTTTTATTACAATTCTAATCATTGCTTTTTCTAAAAAAAGTAAACATTGCTGAGGAGTGGAGGTAGTTAAAATAATAGTGGCACCAAGGGAAAAAAACTGTCCTTTTTGACATAACATTTTCTTTGCGGGCATGAAGGCTAAACATTGTCAAAGATTTTAAATAAGAATCACCCAAGAAAGAGAGAGAGAGAGAGTGTACCAACAGATAGACAGAAAGAAAGGCATGAAACAGAAATTTACTTACAAGGCAGAAGATTGGTGAGAGAGCAAACCAACAGATTTTCATGAATGGATTGATCCTGAAGCCGACCATCATCTCAATGTTGTCATAAAATCGATTTACACCTGAAAGACAAAGAAAACTGGTAAGATTGTGGGGTCACTCATATCATACCAGCAGGGGTAGCCCCATATTCACAGGAATAAAAACATACAAGGAAATAACACTAAAAGTATGTCAAATCATAAATTAAAATCATAATTTTATTTGTGTGTGTGTGTGTGTGTGTGTATTTCAGTTATATGTATTTTAAGGTTGCATATAATAAACTCTTTGAAGATCTGTAGCAAGAGAGTGAATCCCAAGGAGAGAAAATGGACATCTTGACACACTGAGTGTCCTGAAGAGAGTGAGTTGGACTTTTTTGTGCAAAGAATACATTTCCAGTAGCTGTTATCACTCTTTCCATTATTGATGAGGGTTTCCTTCCTAACTCTTTGTTTGAAGTACTGTGGAATGTCAACATCTTCATTATGCCATTAATTTCTCTTAAGTTAGATTTGCTAAACATTTTGGTTGTTGCTGCTGTTGAAACTCTTCAAGTGATTTGGAGTCTGTTATCTAGTGCCAGTCCACAATGTTTGAAGAAGAATGCTCCACACTTGGACATACAGGCTTCATTCATTCAAAGCCATTTTTAATCATTAATCTAAGAAAGCAGTTGTATACAGCTGCAGGCTAGCTATTTCTGAACAGGTTTCGCACTATGCCTGATATCCATATGAAAGTCTAGAACTGAAGGTTTTTGAGGATAATGTTTTGTAGCAATTTGCAGTGTTGAGCAAAAGTACCCCTAGAGTATCCTTTTACATTTGTGCGAGGCATGGCATGTGGAACTAGAACAATCTACCTAGGTAGCAGAAATAAAGGGTTCAGTTCAAAATTTCAATCATGTGAAGAAGGCCAAAACATTGTGAATATGACAATAAAAATGAGGACAATAGTCCAATCAATGTAAATAGCGTAAATCAATTACCATATCTCCTATACTAAATTTCTTGTAACTTACCCATATACCAAGATATTTAAAGTGTTTTTTATTTACTAAATTCACAACATGAATTTTTTTTTATGGATTTAGGGTATGTGCCATCACTGCTTTCATTCCAATTCCAGATAATGGTTTCCATTTTTGGAATGGTTTTCTTGAAATATTTGGTAGAGGATGTTGATTTTTTTTTTTTTTTTAAGATCATTTTAATCTAAACTATCAATAGTCAGAGCTGACATTATAATTAATTCATTAGGTTTGGGAGGGAAAGCAGGCTTGCTGTTTTCTATTCATGGATTTGTTTGTGATATGGTATAGGATGCTTAAATGATCAGTGTCTATCTCTTCACGTCTTTTTTTTTTAACCATTTATCTTAGAAAGTCATTGTATACAGCTGACAGATTAGACATTTTTGAATGGGACTGACACCATGCATAACATCCATGTAAAAGTCTTGATCTGACAAGGCTATTTAAGAACATGACTTGAGTTTTCAGGTTGATGTTTTGGTTTTGTACCATTTTGTGGTATTGGGCAAAACTATCTCTGGAATTAAATATGGAAAAAGAACTAATTAAGAAATTCAAGAAATTTGAAGTGTCCCTAAGGAATTGAACATGAATATTAACAATTTGTCCAACAAAACATAATTTGTCTACACAAAGATAGATTTACCAGCAGTTTCATTAAAATAATAATTTTTCAGGAAGTATGTTATCAGAACTCAGTCAAGTAACTAGCTGTCCACATAATTTCCAGAACAAAGTTAACTTGCCAATCAAACCAATACATCACTGGTGATAATATGAGTACCATATATACAGGTGCAAAGAGCACTTTAGTAATTTCAACAGAAACATGAAAAGAGCAAATTGTAGTAGTAGCCATGAATAAACAAATTACGACCACTATGAAAAGTGGGGGAGAACAAGCAAACTGATACATTGTTCTATGATCATTCTTCTTCTATGGGCCATTCCACATCATGACATAAGAAGGCCGGGAGCGTACAACAGCAGAAATGTTGTAATAAATATGGCGACAAAGATGAGGACAATAAATAAATAATGTACATAATACCTCATCTCAGAAATATAGGCAGTTACCCACATTCGTTTATAAGGCAAAAATTACATCACTTAGCATCTCCATAGTTTATTTAAGTCAACACTGGAGTGAATGGTGACAAGACCAGAGGGATCCTAGTTATGGCCAGAAGTAAGATAGCTACTGCTTCAAGGCACACTGTAGGGCATATCGAGGTCTTGAGAGGTTAATACTCAAATCACCAACCCTACCTAATATAGTCAGAGTTGGAATAAATGTAAATTAAAAGAAAAAATATTCAGTTCATACTCACCACACGTTTTTACAATCAGAAAATTGTTTTAGGATTATACTGAACTTTGAAATTCTGAAAGTTACAAAAACTTACCGTATATCCAGGCAACTGCGATACATTCAATAAAGCAACTAGCAAAAGGATTCGACTGGCTGCATAATAATCAAATAGTTGAAAGACATACATTCCACCCTGAAAGATAAAATTTTATATATATATATATATATATATATATATATATATATTATGAAATGGACAAAGTCCAACAATTATTTTAAGACATTTTATGTTTATACATTCATTTTATAGATACAAATATTTAAGTAAATGCTCTGTTTATAATAAACAGTATTAAACAACATTTACCAGCCTGAATGTCTGAGAAATTTTCATAGAAAATATTCGTCCTCCAACAGGATTCAAACCTGTATCCTATACGGAACCATCATATAGCCTGACTTGCCTTTTAACCTATTCAGCCACAGAGGAGCATTCGGTTAGCAAAATGTCTTAAAATAATTGTCGGACTTTGTCCATTTCATAATGTGTGACGTCATTTGTTTACATTTGATACGCCATGAGCAGATATGAATGTACGCAAGAGATTCATGGATGATTGAAGTTTAAAAGCAGTAAATTCGACCTTGCTGAGGAGTTAGGTGGACAGATGTAAAGGGTGATGTGGTCACTGAAATTTTCTGTCAGCCATGACTAGGTTCTCCTGTTTGTGTGACGTAGTGCAGAGTCCTGTTGCCAGACTTAGGGTCTTCCAGCAGCCACCCTCTTGACGCAGGGCAGCACTACCTCCTCAAGGTACTTGATGTAAGCCTCAGTGTTGAGTCTGAGGCCCTCACCAACAAATTCACTAATTGTTTTCTTATCATCAGAACAATCAGAGTGAATTTTCCAAGCTGCCGTACCTTCGTAATCACCATTAGACTGATCCATCTTTCCAAATCCTTCACACTGTCCCCGGATTGACACCCAAACACTCTGAAATATTCATATTGGAGGTTCCGGTAGGAATGCAAAGCAATACAGCATGCTGTTTCCAAATTTGAGGCACAGTGAATTGCGTTAGGGTGCTCATATTCTCACAGGCAATGCCCAACTGACTTTACTATTCTGTGCAATTGACAAAATCAAAGACAAACAATGTGCACACATGAAATTAAAAATAAAATATAACAAAAATTTACCCATCGCAACCTCTATATACAGTGTGTCCTCCAAACTTTGACTTCATTTAAAATGTGAATATCTGAGTAACTACATTTTCTAGGCAAACAAAATTAAATAGGCTTCGTGTTGAACTATATAAAGATTTATTTATCAAAGTGTGAACAAGATATTCAAAGGGAATCAATTTTACAAAGCTTCCCAAATGTTCAATATGCACACTCTGTAATACATGTCAAGTTGGTAGTCCAGCTCCTGCCAAACACGTTGTAGCATGTCTTGCATAACATTCTCCAGCACCTCAGTATGGACTTTGAGATAAGATGAGAATCTACCAGGAAGATGGATTGAGCGTGCCAGCAATAATGACAATGTGCTGTTGAAATGGCCACCACGTTCACCTTGATATCATGCAATTTTTTTTCATTGGGAATATTTGAAAGGACAGGTCTATATCCCCTTTGTTCCTACAAGCCTAGAAGGACTGAAACAGTATCACTGAGATGCTGGAGAATGTTACGGAAGCCCATGTGAATGCTAAAATTTTCTAAATCTGGAAGATAAATTTCAGCCTTTTCTTTTTGTTTGTTTATTGTCACCCTCAGGTAACAAAACAAAAGGTGTTAATTCAATGTTCATGCAAACACACAAAAATGCTGATGGAAAGATAGGATATACATATATATTAATAATATATCCATATATGCATATAAATCATATCATAAGCAAATCATATTGAAACCTAAAAGCCACTACTACTGTTTACAAAGAGTAGTCTGTAAAGATTTAATATACAGGGTGTCCCCATAAAATTGACATCATTTAAAATGTGAATATCTAAGTAACTACATATTCCAGGCAAATGAAATTAAATAAGCTTCATGTTGAACTATAAAAGATTTATTCATCAAAATTAGAACAAGATATTCAAAGGGATGTAGATTTTATAACCAATTTCACAAAGCTCAATATGTGCACCACCTGTATCACGACACACGGTAGTTCAACTCCTGCCAAACATGCTGTAGCATGTTTTGCGTAACATTCTTCAGTGCGGACTTATCTCAATGAGGATCTATTAGGTAGATGCATCAGCCGTGCTAGTGATAATGACAATGTTTTGTTGAAATGGTCACCTGTTTGACATTTTTTTCTTTTGGGCTATGTGAAAGGACATGTCTATATCCCCCTTATAATTACAAACCGAGAGGAACTTAAGCAGAGAATCACTGAAATGCTGGAGAATGTTACGCAAGACATGCTACAGCGTGTTTGGCAGGAGCCGGATTACTGACTTGACGTGTGCCGTGTCATATTGAACATTTGTGAAGCTTTGTGAAATCGGTTATAAAAATCTACATCCCTTTGAATATTTTGTTCAGATTTTGATAAATAATTTTTTATTGTTCAACATGAAGCCTATTTAATTTCGTTTTCCTGCGACATGTAGTTATTCAGATATTCACATTTTAAATTATGTCAATTTGGGGGATGGGGGAGGCGTGGATCTCTCCGACTTCGAACCACTCGCCCATGGGTAAATCACCTACAGAACTTTAGACGATGAATAACAAGAAATAATGTTGGATTAAAAAAAAATACATTAATTACTTAAAAATTGTTTTCAGCTTCAGATATGGAAATAAAGTTAGCAGATGGTTAGATTGATTTTTTTTTTTGTGGTTTATCTACCTATTGCAAGTTATTTAAAGCCAGAAAATATTTTGTATAGTAAGAATTTTTTAAAGATAATAATTCTTTACCGATACAAGTCATACTATTTAACCCATAGCTGGGGAGAAGAGATGGATACATACTTCTCTCAATGGCATTTGCGTGTAAGGGAATATAAGAAAACCAACTGGAACTTGGTTCTCTGACTTCCAATTCCGAGCCGTTAGCCCTTCAGGTTACCCACATGTCCAAGCTTAGAGCATTTGGTATTGCTAAGCGGTCAGCCATCTAGGCTTGACTGAGTGGTGAGAATGATCGCTTTCCGACAATGAGACTTTGGTTTAATTCTCACCGAGGTTGTTTTTTATCAAGAAGCTGACTTCTTGATGTAATCAGCCTGGGGAAGTGATCCCAATGCACAACAAATATCCACACAGCATTCCACAAGTATTTACTCTGTCCCCCCCAGGACGAGATGTGACACAAGGTCAATTTTTAGGTGGGGACCCGAACGCGTACGCCCGGGACAGGAACAAAAAATTCCCCTCAGCCCCCGCAACCGTCGGTTGTGCTGGCCTCGGTGCGAGCACCGATTCCTGGTGCAATGGGAGGGCGTGGCCTCGGACTTCTGTTCCCCAGGGCTGGCCACCTCTTTAGTATTATTTTCCTCGGTTGCCCCTCTGTTCTTTGACAGAGAAGCCCCTGAGCGCACTCTGTCCAAAGACAGAGACGCAACTGAGAGATAAGTAGACGTGTAACTACTCAAAAGAGTAATTTACACAGCAGAGAGTATTCCACGGGCTGACCGAAGTCTCTTAAATGTAAATTGAACATTTAGAACCATTCAGCAGTCATCGATGATTGTGCTATCACTTATGGCACTTAACTAATAACTAATATCAGTCAATTATTAGTCGTACTAAAATCTATTAATAAAATAGTAAAACCTACTTACCTCCATACACATGGGAAGCCCAAACAAGAAGGAAATGAAACAAACAACAGCAATAAAAATTTCTTTCCTGTATCCACGTCGCAAATACTGAGGGAACATATCCACAAAGACCGTGATAACAGCTTCCACTCCAACAAACTGAAAGATAAAATTAGGAAAAATCAGGACGGGAGAGATCATAGCTCTCCACAACTTCCTATCTTTTGTAGTTTTTAGCAATGTGGCTTTTTTTTTTGCTATCTATCCTACTTCCTGTGCTGTAATCAGTTACCTTCAATATGTCCCGTGAGTGTTAAATTCTCTAAGCCTTCTTTCTTCATAATGAAATTTCAACTATGTAATTCTAGGTGCCCCTTTCGTTTCTATTTTACTTAAAACTTCCTCGTTGCTCACATGTTCATTCCATGACAATTTGAACCGCTTTCCGTAGAACCGCATCTGTATCCATAAGTTCATCCGAGAGGAAATTGTCCAACATTCACTATTATTTTCATATTTCTAACAGAAATTTTTCCCGTTTCCTAATACTCTGCTTAACTTTTGGAAGGCTTCTTTTTTTCTTTTTATTTCAGTGCACCTTCCTTTCCAGAGAATTGCATCACTGTATAGTGATTTATTAAGTGTAGATTAGTTGTGGCACAATGCCGAAAGTATAGGGCACCCAGTGAGGATCGAACTCAGTCGTAATTGATCTAGCGAGACAAGTTTGCTAGCCATTACACCACATCAAAGTGCCCATTGCCTCGCTGTATTGGTTGAAGACTTGTGAGTATTAAATTCCCCAAGCTTACTTTCCTGATTATGTGTGATATAAATTTCAACTGTGACTTTCTGATTAGCCGTTTTAGTTCTCAAGTTTTCTGTTCAGATGTGAGTAAATTGTCCACCCCCATCCCAGGAAGATTGATATTATATAGCAGTTCAACATTTTTTTGTTTGTTTCTAATGAAATTTTCCTGTTTCTTGATACTTTGCCCAGCATTTTTCACTATTCTAATATACATTTAAACACTTTAAATACCTCAGTGCATGGATCAGTTATTAGAAATTCAGAATAGCAGATAAGGAAATTGAACACAGAAAACTTATGCTAGGGGTAGTTTTCCACAAAAACACAAGTTGCTACAAAACGAAAACATTAACCTAAAAACTTGAGTCTTAAGTAGCCTCTTCAGATCGAGACTTTCATATGGATGTCATGTCATGGCGCCAAACCCGGCCATAAATATCTAAACCGGAAACTGTATACATCCGCTTTCTAAGATCAATGATTAAAAATGATTTTGAGTGAATGAAACTGGTAGGTCTTTATCGAATCTTGTGGGTTGGTGCTGCAGAATAACAAACAAAGAAATAAAATAACAGAAACCACATCACTTGGATTTTTTAACAGCAGCAACGGATAATGTACATCAAAAAAAAAAAGATAATGGCTTAATCAAGTTGCTGATGTTCCACACTACTTCAAACAAAAGGTTAAGAAGGAAACTTCCATCAATAGTGGAAAGAGAGATAACAGTGAACTTAAGAAATCTATTTTCCTGAAAAAAATATTTTAAGAGAAAGGAAGATTTTATAAATTTCAAACAAAAGTAGTACTGGTTGTTCAATCAATGAATGCCAAGATTCCTTATAAGGGAGCAGTTAATATTAAAATTAGAGAAGGGGAGAACAGATTCAACACTTTGATCCCAGCCTGGTGGCACAATTCAAGTGGCACTGGCTGCTCGGTCAATGAATGCTGAATATTTACTTATAAGGAAACGGCTAATATTACTATTACTGTTATAAAAAGAACTCCAAACAGAGAACACCTTCAAAATGATTGCTTGCATTTGCCTGTTCACCCCCATGATGTTACGTTTAATGTTGCATATTTGAATAATAGCTGGCCACTCGTATTCAAGGATACCCGTCTATTAGGACGGATAACCAATCCCTATTGCAGACGCTCGCTCAGGCACATTTGTGTTTGTTCAACACCAATAGAGTCCACCTGTGGTTTATGCTGCAAGTATGCTGAGCAGACCTTAGTTGCATGTTTGAATAATAATTTAATTCCAGTCTGTTAATGTGACTGGGATTCTTGACTTGTGGCATTGCGACAAAATTATACATGAAGATAGTTTTAAAATCAATGTTGGTTCCAATGTGCGTGGAATGTATATTTATTGTATTTTACCGTGCAAATTTAGCACAAGGCCAAAGCGGAAGTGAAGCGAGGTGGGGTAGGGCTTAACTGATTAACCTAAACCTAGCTAATCCGATTCACGACGCATTCATTATAATTTACTCTATCAACACAAGAATTCATCCATCGTCATTCGATTCAACATATGCCACAATACTGCATATTCACAGGGATCCTACTAAAACATCCATGACATAAAAATTTGGTATTGGGTCGGGGGTCAGTTTTTTTATTATTTTTTCTTTACAGATCTCGACATCTATCAGAGAGATGGAATTTAAATTTTTATTATTGCATTATTCCAAAATTTTAACACATCAGCAGATAGCTTTTAATCTCAACAACTGAGCACAAATAGTTATTAATCTAAAAAAAAACAAAAAAATTGTAATTAATGTATAATATTATCCATAACTACAAGTACAAGAATGTCGTTTTTGATAAAAAATTTTAAAATAACGATAAATACGTAAAAAAATTGCGTATATTGTTGGAAATTCCTTTTTCCACAATATAGCTATTTGTACGTTATATTGTTATAAACAATAATGATACGGAATATTTTTTTTAACAATAAGGTATATTTAATCACATTTCCCTAATAACTGTCGCGATCTGTTAAAACAAAAATATAAAATGCGAATGAAATATTTGCTAAAAACATCTCCCTCCCCAAATTTATAGACAAATCCTACTGATGCATGGTGGGACTTCTTTTTAACCAATGAAAATGGACCAATTCTCAGCGTCATCTGCTATATTATTTTTGTTCTTTCTTGAAATCAGAACGCTACAATCACTTGACATTATCTCTCTTGTGTATGAACACTATTCTTACTTTGTGAACTTTTTACCTTATTACTGCTGCTTTGCCTAATTTTGACTTGCATATATATTGTTTGCTTAGTATTATTTTACCCTATTCTTTTTCTTCCTTTTATTATTATGCTAAGGGGGACGCAGGTTCGAATCTTGCCGGAAAGCGCATTTTTTCTTTAATAATTCTCGAATATTCAGGCCAGTAGACGACATTAAGTATACTGTTTATAAATACGAAAGAACAGTGCTTCTACTCAAATATGGGTATCCACTAAAATTAACGTTTAATTGATAAAAGTATACCAACTATTTGTAGGTACCAAAATATAATTGTATCTTATGCGTTTGGGCGTGAAGCTAACTAGTTTCATAGTCTTGTCCTTACTAATCTTCACAAGGCCCAAAAGCCCCTCAAGTTTATTGTATGAATGTAAAAGGGGAAGTGTATTTTATGAGAATATGTAGAATAATAACGGTTAACATGAAGAGTTTAAGGCTGTAGTGATTGGGAAAGCACACTCAATATATGATAATTTTCCTTACTTGACTGTCCATTCCCAGCAAAATGATCATAATAAAAAACAGAACAGAGAAGAGGGGCGCCGCCGGCATTGTGGCAACGGCTTGTGGGTAAGCAATAAAAGCCAGACCAGGACCTGGAAAAAAAAAGTAGAAATTTATATAGGACTGAAATTGTTGAAGAAAATATTTAATTTTTTTTTTTAATGAAACACCTTTTATGTTCCTTGTTGGTCTACCAAGAAAGGTAGATTCTGTGGCAGGTGTCCAAATATATTTGAAGAACTTAGCTTTGTTTGGCACAAGGCCATAACAGTAAGGGAGCGAATGAAATTGATGAACCCTTCAGTTATTGTAGGTACTTTGAAACATTCATTTTGTTCTTGATTTCTGTAAAATGTTAAAAGACATACGGAAAAAATCGTTCGTGAAAGAATAAAAACCAGATTAAAAATTAGGAAGTGGAAAAGAAAAGAAGCAAAGGTGGGGATCAGAGAGTGGTGGGGAATAGGGAAGAAATTTCAACAAAGTTAGGGAAACGGAGGGGTGGAAGTTTGCTAAAGGGAGGAATCGATATGGAGAAAGTTCAACAAGAGCAGGGGAATGGAGAGGAGAAAGTTTGCTAAAGGGAGGCGCATGGAGGTGGAGAAAGTTCAACCAAGAGAGAGGGAGGGGGAATGTTCACCAAGAGAGAGGAAGGGGGAAGTTCACGGAAGGGAGGGTAACCAGGAAGAAATTTCATGAAAAGGAGGAGTCAGTCAAGGGATGATCAGAGAAAAGGTTTTCTAAATGAGTAAGGTACGTACCTTTCTCGACGACATCATCAATTGTTTTGTTTTGCATGTGGGCCATGTAGCCCAGCACTGGGAAGGTGATAAGTCCAGCCAAAAGGCTGGTGCCGCTGTTCGTACAGGCAAAAATGATGCTGTCCCTAAAAATGAATTTAAAAAAAAAAAAAAAAAAAAAAAAAAAAAAATTAAATTTGGATCATTCGTTTAATGAAGGTACAAACTTTTCTTAATTAATCTCTGTTACTGTCTAATAGTTTTTTTGTGCGCACATCTCGATTGTGGATCTTTCTTCCAGCTTCTTGCTTTCCTGATAATTACAATCTTCAAAAAATTAAAATGGAACGTCAATCGTCATCTGTCTCCTTGAATCCCGTTCTTTTTATTGTCCCTTCTCCTCAAATAATGTTCTCTGTTTTTTTTACTCTCAACAATCCCTGACTTCTGTTCCGGGCATACTACGCATGTAAAAGATTTGTGTCACCCGGTTTCAGATAGTTTTCATGTCACTTTTGCACCCCTTTTTAATATTTCTAATGTATTTCTAAATCTATGCTGGTTACATTCAATGCCTCGAAAACCAAACCAAACATTCCAGCATCGCCGATCGAACTCTGAACTACCTTCACGATAAACGGATGTCCCACTCGGAAAGACACTGTGCCATAAGAGACCGTTGGGCCCTAAAAATCACTCCTGACATCAAATGGAACACTTACATCCATCGATCCAGAAGGTACCCAATCTTTACTCTTTAGCTCCGACAGAGTTCAAAAGTGTTTTCGTAGCCTTGTAGGTGATGAATTAATTTTTGCCTTACAACCCCTTTTCATCACAGACAATTGTTTCTCTTACTTTTCAGGGCAAATGTTCAGACGAGCTACATTCTTTTATTTCACCAATTCAGAACCCTTTAGCTAACAACCGCTATGCCACGGTGTCGACACATTCTCTTCGTTTTTCATTAGTAAGAAGGAAGTTCTACTCAGCTTCTTCCCTAGAATTGTTACCTTGTGGAACAGACGCTTGAGAGGATGATTTCACGATCACTAGAATCTTAACCACTTCAAGTCTAGGATCAACCATTGTCTATCCTACATACCCTCATAGTATGCGATTTTAATTTGTACAAAAGAACATCCATTCTAACTACCCATTGAGAGGGAAAATTTCTGGTTATATTCAATGCCTCGAAATACTAACTAGTTGCATTCCACCATCGCTGAACTCCGAACTACCGCCAGTTACGATGAACGGATGTCCCCTCGGGGTGGCACCGTGTCTTGACAGACTATTGGGCCTTAAACTTACACCTGACCTCAAGTGGAACTCGTACATACGAGCCATCGCTAAAGATGCAAGTAAAATGGTTGTCTCCCTCTACCACTCCAGTAAGTATTTGACCTCTACCTTTTATAAGAGCCAGATCAGATCAAGAACGGGGTCCTGTTGTCATATTTGGGCGGAAGCTGCCCACTCCTCATTTTCCAGCCTCGATAGAGTCCAAAAACGTCTCCGACTCCTTGTGGGTGATAAATTATTTTCCACCCTCCAACCTCTCTCTCTCTCTCACACACACACACACACACAAGTGGGATGTGTCAAGCCTCTCACTGCTCTAACGCTAATTCCACGGAAAGTGCTCGGACGAACAACATTCCTTGGTTCTGCCACGTCTAACCTTCACGGTAAGAACCCGCCATGCCACTTACATTTGAGAAAACCACTCACATTCCCTTCGTATTCCATCGGTGAGAAGTAAGTTCCACTCGAACAGCTTCTTTCCACGAACCATTGATCTGTGGAACCCACACCAAAAAGAGGACGTTTCTCCAATCGCTACAATCTTAACCTATTCAAGTCTAGAGTTAACCATTAACTTCCCCTCCTATCCATATAAACTACCCCTTAAAATAACCCTCTACCTCGGAATGCCCCCTCGGGCCTTGTACAGAGTAAAGCTTACTGAAAAAAAATTCAGAGTTTAACACCATGGAGGATTCTAACTTTAAAAGGCAACGTATTCAACATTATTTACAGTATCAATTCCCTAACGTGCAGTACTGCTACAAAGCTATTTAAAAACAATTGTGCAGTGTATACGGATGCAACAAAGGCTCATACATATCAGCTGTGATTTAAATGTTTTAAAAAAATGTCGATTGTAACATATATCTGGAAGAGAACCCAGATAGAATGAAGAACATTTGAAAGTGACTACGTCACAGTACCAAATATTTGGTGCCAAAACATAATGTCATGATGAACACCTCAACTGAATTGGAAAAACGTGCAATAAGGGGATTTGGGTCCAGCATTAGCTTTTGCTTGAGAACCGAACACAACATTCCATTATCTGCAGCAGTCATTTAACTGGGAATTCCAACCTTTTACTCTTACATCGCAAAAAACTTACTGTTAAAAAAATGTTTATACAGTATGTTACTGGACAGTAACTGTAATAAGCAAATAAAAAAAATCATCTCTATATTCTATACATAAGTACGGTTTGCATATTGTAAATGCAGAACAATTAAATATTTTACTTTTCACTTTATTCATTTTCAAGAAAGAGAAAACAACCACAAAAATTTTCCCACAACGTACGACATTAGCTGTTTGTTTTTAATTTTTTTATGAGATTTTACGACTGATCGTGAGTCTGAAAGTTGTCAAAAAGTAAATCGTTAAGTGAGGATTGTGGAGTTAACCCCACTTACTTTCCTAACAAAAAACTGCCACTCGGGGACGCTTTCTGAACCTATAACTACACTGTAGTATTTTATATCATTCTCTTTTTTTCTTTGACACTATGGGGTGTAGGTCTATAGTGAAAACGAGGTTCCCCATTAGTAAATGCACACACATGTACGTAACTTAATTTTCTATGACTTCTACACACATTTTACATACACGAAAAATTCAGTAGTCTTTAAATGTTTTCATACATAGTCATTGTTTTGGCACATATATAAATATCATAGTCTGTCGCATGCAATAATGTAACTTTTTGTCTTTTTAATTATACATTATCGTTTGTATATATATTGGCTTTAGTTGTTTTTTATTTCATTACCTGGATTCCCATATCGAGTCCGCCATTTTTATTGCAGAATAAATATTCTAGGAAACACGGTTTTCCCAACTCAAACACCAACGTACATACACCTACAACAGGAGTGGCTATATACATTGAAAAATACCGAAATCTTTGGCGTTCAAAGTACAACGCAACAGTAAAATTACTGAACCATGCAGCAGTCTACTGCGTTTCAGTTTTAAGAGAATGACGTCCAAATATATCTCTTCAACAAACAAAAGCCACTATAACTGTATATAGGTCGAGAGAAAAAAAACAGGAATGCTGGAGTCTATTCTAAATATATGAAGTTTATGAGTTGTAATATTTCACGTGGAAAATAAATGAAAATTTCTCGACAACGAACAAAAGGAAGAGGCGGCTTCCCTTGCTTACGGTAAGAAATTTTCCTGACGACTTTTTTCCTTTGAAATTGTCCCTGACATCTTTTACGTTTTCTAATTTGGAAAATCTTGGACATTTTCTACCTAGCTATATAACAATGATTCGATTTCTATATCTTTGTGCAGTATTGTTAAAACATTTAACTTGAAAATAAAGACATTTCTATTCAAAGCAGTTTACCGAGTTCAGAGTAATTAATAAATTAAGTAGTTTTACAGTCGAAGTCCGGCCGAAATGATTTTGATCCCCCTCCGCATATATATATATATATATATATATAAAGGGTGACAAATAAAAGAGAGAAAAATAAAAGATTTTACTAAGTCTAGTTTTACTTAATGTTTAGTACAATACTCTCTAGAGGTCAACTTGATTTGCCTTTAAAAGGATATGGCCCCACCTGGTCTGCTTGTTAAAGGACAAGGCCCCACCTGGTTTGTAAGTAAAGGCTCTACCTGGTCTGCCTATAAAAGGACACGGCTCCGTCTGGTATGCCTGTAAGAGGACACGCCCCCGCCTGGTATGCCTGTAAAAGGACACGGCCCCGCCTGGTATGCCTGTAAAAGGACACGGCCCCGCCTGGTCTGTCTATAAAAGGACACGGCTCCGCCTGTAAAAGGACACGGCCCCAACTGGTCTGTCAGTAAAAGGACACGGCCCCAACACTTGTCCTAAATAGGACACATGGCCACCCGATATGCGTCTATCCACGCTCAATCTATTTAAAAAGCAAGAATTCAAATTCTGTTTCTCAAGGCAGGCAAGTTGATCCTTCCATTTGAAAGACTGACGCACTATAATCTTTGTGTGTACTTCAATATGACGATGAGAGGGCTTGGATAAATGGATGACAATAAAAAAAATGTTGAGGGGATAGTAAGAAGTCAAACACTGTTTAGATCTACGAAAGATAGAAAGTTGCGGAGAGCCATGTTCGCTTATGTCCTGAAGAGGCATGGTACATAACAAATAAAGAAATGAATCCAAGAATTTTTCTCTTTAAAAAAAAAAAAAAAAAAAAAAATTAAATTTATGAAAAAGAACTGGTTTTAAAATCTGATTCAGTGAATGGCGTTTTGTCGTGTGATACAAAAAAGAATAGATAAAAAGCATAGAAAATAAATTTGCATTCTTTCGTACATCTTTTCAGGTTTTCACAATAAAAAAGCATTTTATAAAAAGAAATGTTTAAATTTTCTAGTTCCTGTAGACGATTCTCCACCGTCCTATTTTATAAATCGTTAATTTCTGAATGATTTGATTTTAGTGCATTTCATAGAATAGCAACCATTTTCAGGCTATTTAAAACCAAATTCCGTCGTTTTGATAAATAATAGGAAAGTATATACTGATTTGATTTGCACGATAATCAATGGCTTGGTTTGCACAATAGTCCAAAAGATAAATGAAGTAAACAGGTGTACGCTTTGTGGGTGCTATCCCTCGCGAGGAAATGCAATCGGCCTATTCTTGATTCCAACTGACAAGGTGAATTTGTGTATGCATTATATACCTAAAGAAGGCTGTAGAATATATCAACAGAAATGTGGTGGGAGCAACAAAAGGCAGAAGTTCAATCGTCCAGCCATACGAATGGCAGTTAATCCTTCTGTAATTACAGAGGATATAAGGTGTACAGTTGAGATGCGTACATGGCTA